ACACACACACACACACACACATACGAGCGCCGGCGCGCACGCACGTACGGCGTGGGTCGCGATCAATGCTTCTGTTTCATGGCTTATGGCTTCTGGGAAAAGAGTGCACCAGCCAGGTTTCAGCCATGCGGTTGCAGTTTATTACCAGCTGTATGCGCAATCGTGTACGTAGTTATATCCGCTGCATATTGATCACGGGATGTACTATTAACTGGCCTGCTTTTATTGGCCTTCGCCCGACCGCTGTAGGCTCCCACCCGGCTGTGCCTTTGATCCCGAATTGAAAACTTAACTCCAAAAACAATCTGTTGTTGCTCAGTTTCTGCGAGACCGGGGTAATGCAGGTGGCATTCTCCGGCTGCGGTTCTGTGACCACGCCACTGAAGATTGACTGATTGATACGTATATCTTATGTTTTATCTTATCTCCTACATATAAGCATGCATGCATGCATATATATGCCATGTACTATATTTTAACGTATTTGCATATAGCAAGCAACGCTCCCAGCGCCTAGTTTTGCGTCATTGTGATATTAGAGCCTTTAAGTGGAGGTTTAGACCTTCAATATGCCACGAAGAACTGGTCAAACGACGTCATAGAGCAAGCATAGGTTATAATGACGGCGCTCGACGTTTCAGGCTGTACTTGTTATCACAAGTGCACACTACTACGTCCCTCTGAACCTCCCCGGTGGCGGCCACGACGCGTCGTGCTCCCGGCGGCCACCGCCAGTTCTATGGTCCAGGCTATGGTCAGGACACGTATACGCACAGCTTAAAACGTGGAGCACTGTCAATATGAGCAATGCTTGCTCTATAACGTCATTTGATCAGTATAGAGTAGACAAAACAGTAGAAGTAGCATTATTCCTCGGAGAAAAGCCAGGAAAATAGAGATGTAGATAGGCTGATGTTTCGGTAACATACCTTTTTCGAAACGAATGACAGAAGTGAATTCCAATTCACTTGTGCAGCGTGTGAGTTTAAAAGTGAATTGGAACCCACTTCTGCTATTCGTTGCGATAAATGCATGTTGCCGAAATATCAACGCATGTATATCTCCATTCTCCCAGCTTTTCTCCGAGCAATATGGCTATTAGTACTATCTTATCTATGTGAATAATATTCCTCGCAAATGCACCAAACAACTTCCGTTATCAGTATCTCCTGGTACATTGAATGCCAATAACTCAGCCTAAGAACTCCAAAGTGATAATGACTTATTGCAGGATTTTGGCCGCCAATCTGTCATGGCTTATCTAGCCAAAAAGGTGACAATTACACATCCACAATGCACTGAATATCCTAGAGCGTTATAAAACAACAAAAAGTGCGAAGCACGGCGTTCAATGAGATGCAAGCTGTACCGCGGTTATAGAACCAAACAGTTGTGTCTCAACCGGCCCTAAATAAGCATACAGAAAAGGTCTACTTATCGCTGCCTGTGCTTCTTCTTTCAGCTCGTCAATAGCAGTCAAAAACCCGACTGACTGGTGTTCACTTTCGCGTTTCAGTTTTGCCTACCCGGCAAACTTCGCCCGGGGCTCCGCCTCTCGGCTGGTCAGCCAACTCGCGAGTTCGCCGAGCAACCGGCAGCTGGCAGCACTGCCGAGTAAGGTGCGCGACTTCGTAGAGCGGTCCGCCGCGCTCTGTCAGCCGGAGCGTCTGCACGTGTGCAGCGGCTCCGCGGAGGAGCACGCCGAGCTGATGCGCGAGATGCAGGCCGCCGGCATGGTGGAACCGCTGCCCAAGTACGACAACTGCTGGCTGGCACGTACCGACCCGGCCGACGTGGCGCGCGTTGAGTCCAAGACGTTCATCGTGACCGACGAGCGGCGCCAGACGGTGCCGACGCCGCGGCAGGGCGTCAAGGGCGCGCTCGGCAACTGGATGTCGCCGGCCGACCTGGACAGCGCGGTGGCCGCCCGCTTTCCGGGTTGCATGCGCGGCCGCACGCTGTACGTCATTCCCTTCTCAATGGGGCCGGTCGGCTCGCCGCTCAGCAAGATCGGCATCGAGCTCACCGACTCACCGTACGTGGTGGCGTCGATGCGCGTGATGACGCGAATGGGCACCGACGTGCTCGAGGCGCTCGGCGACGACGACTTCGTCAAATGCCTGCACTCGGTGGGCCGGCCGCTACCGATGAAGACCGAGCCCGTCAACGGCTGGCCGTGCAACCCCGAGCAGACGATCGTCACGCACGTGCCGGCGCGCAACGAGATCATCTCGTTCGGTAGTGGCTACGGCGGTAACTCGCTGCTGGGCAAGAAGTGCTTTGCGCTGCGGATCGGCTCGACGATCGCCCGCCGCGAGGGCTGGCTGGCCGAGCACATGCTCATCCTGGGCATCACCAACCCGCAGGGCGAGAAACGCTACATTGCCGCCGCCTTCCCTTCCGCCTGCGGCAAGACCAACCTGGCCATGATGGCGCCGACGCTGCCCGGCTACAAGATCGAGTGCGTCGGCGACGACATCGCCTGGATGAAGTTCGACGAGAACGGCGTGCTGCGCGCCATCAACCCGGAGAACGGCTTCTTCGGCGTGGCGCCCGGCACCTCGTCCGCCACCAACCCGATGGCGATGGCCACCGTCACTGCCAACACCATCTTCACCAACGTGGCCAAGACGGCCGACGGCGGCGTCTTCTGGGAGGGGCTGGAGCGCGAGGTGGACGCGTCCGTCGGCGTGACCGACTGGCAGGGCCGCGCGTGGACGCCCGGCTGTGGCCGGCCGTCGTCTCACCCCAACAGCCGGTTCTGCGCGCCGGCCGCACAGTGCCCCATCATCGACCCGCAGTGGGAGTCAGCTGAGGGCGTGCCCATCTCGGCCATCCTGTTCGGCGGCCGGCGGCCGGAGGGCGTGCCGCTGGTGTACGAGGCCTTCAGCTGGCGGCACGGCGTGCTGCTCGGCGCAGCCATGAGGTGAGACCCGCCCCGCTGGCCGCCGGTCTCAGACCCGGGGGAGTGGCAAACGAGGTCAGACCCAGCTCCAGGGGAATACTGACGGTCCTGGGCATGTGAGTTTTGAGCTCTTGGTAGTTCCGGGGTTTGGGTGTGTTGGAAGTTCTACCCCCGAGGACCCTGAGAGTTCTTGTCGAAGGGTCTCAGGGCGTTTAGCATAAGAATGAGAATGCCCAGAGTCTTGAATCCCAGGTCTGTGATAGTTACGAGAGCTCCTAGCCGTTCTGAAAGTTGGGGTGTGTCCACTCAGTCTTCAATGAACAGAGAATAGGCGTTCCATTGACAATGCAACCAAAGCCAACTTCAACAGGTCGAGAGGGGATTGTTGTCGATTGGCCATGGGTGTGCTCTATCCACCTTTGACACTGGAACCCTGTAAAATGAGAGCTAAATGGGCTGCATCCAATTACAGGTCAGAGGCGACGGCGGCCGCCGAGCACAAGGGCAAGGTGATCATGAACGACCCGTTCGCGATGAGACCGTTCTTCGGCTACAACTTCGGCCACTACCTGGAGCACTGGCTGTCCATGTCGGAGCGAAGTTCGCCCGCCCACCTGCCCAAGATCTTCCACGTCAACTGGTTCCGCAAGGCGGCCGGCGGTGGCTTCCTGTGGCCCGGCTTCGGTGAGAACTCGCGCGTGCTCGACTGGGTGCTGCGCCGCGTGCAGGGCGAGCCGTGCGCCCAGGAATCGGCCGTCGGCTACATACCGACACCCGACGCGCTCCGGCTGGAGGGCCTAGCCGAAAAGGTCGACCTGGAACAGCTGTTCAGCCTGCCCGGCGACTTCTGGCGGCGCGAGGTGGAGGCACTGGAGACGTACTTCGCCGAGCAGGTGGGCGCCGACCTGCCCACCGCCATCAGTGAGGAGCTGGACGCGCTCAGGAAGCGGGTCGAGAAACTGGAGTAGGGGGCAGCACTGGAGTCGCGGACCAGCCGGGCAGCCTCGCGCCGCTCGGGCGTGTGTTACTGAGGTGTGAGTCGGTCAATGGGTTAAATGTGTGTGTGTGTGTGTGTGTGTGTGTGTGTGTGTGTGTGTGTGTGTGTGTGTGTGTGTGTGTGTGTGTGTGTGTGTGTGTGTGTGTGTGTCTGCATGTATGTATGAGCTGAATGCAAGATCAGCGGCGGTCCGTTTTTGTTGATACGCGATACATACGGTACGCGGAACGTTTCCGCGGAATTGCGCCGTTTTATTTTGAGGTCATAGTTATCCCCTGCAGCTGTAACGCTCAATGGGCTGTAGTTTTACATGTTTCGTTGTGTTGCTTTCTGACGTGCCCCCTAGATGTCTCTGATATCGCGCAGCCCTGTTTTTCATAAAAACGCCGCTGCTAGCTGCCGGGATCCGGGCATCTGTGCCTTCGGATTCTATAGGCTCTCCTTCATACCATGCTGTAAAATGTTTTCGTGAGAGCTACAAACATTGTAAGGAGATCCGGAGTGGGCATTACTAACACCCACAAAAGTGTGCGAGATGTACCCGTGTCTCGATATAGGATGTGGACACGCGTCAGTTTCGTGGATTTCCCACAAATGTGCGTGAGATGACCAATATAAATGGTGTGGACAATCAAAACTTTGAATGGTAGTACCACCTGGTCCTCGAGCTTGAGTAATGTAAGCGACTGAAAGCTCCATTAAAGCTGTTTGAACTACAACGCGGTCATGTTATGGCGAAAAGACACGCGTAAAGTCAGGGCATCATGTGAGAACGAAAAGCACATTCCAGGGTAACATTGCTAAGGTCCGACATATACTATGCTCTTTTCAATTGGATCGAAGCGTTAAAAATCTTTAAATGAGACGAGATGTGCCTTTTTCTCGAGGTTAACGCTCAGCGGTGCGTACGACACGCAATGCATAAAATTCATTACCCTTCAAGTCCCACCTACAAGTGGTAAAACGGTGTCATCTATCAGAGAAAACACAACGCAGCAGGCGGTGCGACAACATACGGTTCACTACCGACTTCCAGACGTTGGTTCGTCAGCGCAGATAAATGAATCAGTTGCAGTGTACTGGACATTTAGGTATCCGATTTTGATTAGTCATTCTGAGTGGCGAGTCAAGATGAGAAAGAAGAGAGTATCACCTTCGAATGTTAGTGAGAATTACACGCTCCTTCAAGGCATGGTAGAACTCCACGACAAAGCAATTGGCAGCAATATTAGAGCTGCGCTAATAAAGTTAGTGCATGAAAAACCGAACTACTGAACTAAGTCGTGAATGCAACCTGTCCATAACCAATGCAATTTTTATCAGGCTAGTTCAATCAAACCTCTCACGGTGCAGTGCTTGCTCATGCTTCATGCTTATGGCACCATTCTCGGGGATGGTAGGTAAGAGGCTCTAGACGTGACCCCTGATCTGAGGGATTACACATTTAGCCTCCATCAGTAACAGTAGATATGCTGGCCGTGCGAGTTGTGCGGTATTTAGACAAGGCCTGTTGCCTGCATGCTGTGTAACTCGAAAATTGTTGTACAAACCAGCACTTATGTCTACCTTAAGCTTGATCATCCGTCAGCAGATGCCTCCAGGACGGCCGCTGATACCGACCAACAGCTGCACGTACCCTTATACGTATCTTAGGACCGAGGCGCTAGCAAAACACGCCAGCGTTATACGCACTGCAGTGTTGCGCTGCCCACATCCGTTACGACTGACTCGATATGGCTGTTTCTGATTTGTATGACGAGCTGTAAGCAAGCGGCTACCCAACGAACCTGGCCCGCCGCACACTGATCTTATTGACTGCAGCTCCGAACTGGTGTTGATGTGAGTTATACGCCTCTGCTCTCCTATGGGTGCTACCGTTGTGGTGTGCGTTACATTTTTTTGGGAACAGAATGCGATCGACACGAGAAAAAATCCGGTGAAAACCCCGCTCTTCTTTTCTGAGATATTATTAGGGGTACGATCGGTCAAAACTCACTACCCCATACATTGCATGTTTCCCAGAACATGGCCGCTCTGCGCCATAGTTGCAACAGCCGCGCCCGCCACGCCGCGCGTTACCTCACCGGCTGGCGGCGGGTTGTTATGGTTCGAACGGCCTGGTGTCAACAGGTAACTGCTTATGGGCAGTGCTTCACCGCGAAGCACGTCCCAGGAGAGCGAAGACGCGCCGGCCAACATTACCAGCTGACGGTCAGATGATGCAGCTGCACTGTCGACCAGCGTCAGACACCACCTCCAGCCCGCTCTGTCGATCCCCACCCCACATCCCCTCCTCGGTCAGTTTCTCACTCGCCGGCCATATTGCGCAGTCGGCCGCTCCGGGCCGCGCTGCCGGCCGCGCCGTGGGGCCGGGGTCAGCGGCGGGGCAGCGGCTGACCTGACCGAAGACCGGAGCCGACCGGGCGGCGCCGGCCGTGACGTCGGCGAGGTCACGCGGCTGGCCGTGTGATGGACGCCGCCGGTCGCCGCCGCCGGCCGCGCCGCGCGCCGCGCACGCACGGTAATCTTGGCCGATCAGGAGGTGCACGACTCAGGAAGCGCTGGCTCGTTTCAGGGACGTGCCCCGGAACACTTTAATCGGTGTTTACTGGCTGTTGGTGCAGCACCGAGGGACTGTTGGCGCAGCACCGACGGGTTGTTGGCGCGGCACCGAGGGATTGTTGGCGCAGCACCGAGGGACTGTTGGCGCAGCACCGAGGGGTTGTTGGTGCAGCACCGATGGGTTGTTGGCGCGGCACCGAGGGATTGTTGGCGCAGCACCGAGGGATTGTTGGCACGGCACCGAGAGACTATTGGCGCAGCACCGAGGGACTGTTGGCGCAGCACCGAGGGGTTGTTGGCGCAGCACCGAGGGGTTGTTGGCGCGGCACCGAGGGATTGTTGGCGCAGCACCGAGGGACTGTTGGCGCAGCACCGAGGAGTTGTTGGCGCGGCACCGAGGGATTGTTGGCGCAGCACCGAGGGATTGTTGGCACGGCACCGATGGACTATTGGCGCAGCACCGAGGGACTATTGGCGCTGCACCGAGGGACTATTGGCGCAGCATCGAGGGACTATTGGCGCAGCACCGAGGGACTGTTGGCGCAGCACCGAGGGACTATTGGCGCAGCACCGAGGGGTTGTTGGCGCTGACGCTGAGATATCTTGACCACTCATCAAGAAATGACGTAGAGGCATTCAACGCTCAATTGGGATTTATATCAAAGGAAGAAGGAGACATATTGTCATTTCCGTCTACGAAGCACTTCCAGTAATGAGCCACTATTCACTGCTTCGTAAAAATATTGAAAATCGGTATGATCGTTTCTAGGGGCGCAGACAAAGCTTTGGTAAGGGGGCACAGGGCCCCCTGGTAGTGAAAGGACCCTCCCCCAAGAATCGCCTAGGCCGCGCAGTTTCCTTCACTAGGCCGTGGCCTACAGGCGGACGAAAAAAGTGACGCAAGTGTCTTTGAAGGCTTTCGGACACCAAATGGCACATTTAAAGATATTCCGGGGATACCCCATCACCTGATATCTCACCGGGGGTAGAGATATCACCTATACGGTTTTTAGATTGATGGCAATAGTGCATTGGTCTTTACTACATCGCGAATTGGTGCTGGAATCTGTTTGTGGAACTGGAAGAGTAAAGGTAAAATTTCGATTTTTCGTGTTGCTGTAACTGTTTATCTGTCCAGAGGACATCCTCAAAGTTGTAAAAAAAGATTCGCCAGGTGTAATCTTTGACCGGTGCAAATCAATTTTGAAAGACATTCGGAAGCATTATTTCACGATGGTCATCGTTGCGCGCTCGGCGCACACCCTCTGGCGTTACTTGTAGTGGCCAACGCCGTAACATTTTACGAAAACTGCGACCCAGGCCATAGTTCTCCTTACTCCCCGAGATTACGGGCCCAGCATTGGGGCTTCATGGCGCACTCAGCTGCTGGGGCTACATGGCACCACCAGCCTCTCATCTTGGAGGGAAGGGCAGGCACCGCGGCGAATCAAACCCTGTACCTGGCGTTTTCCAGATGTGTATTGGTTAAAGCAGGCGTGTGGACCACTAAACTATGGACACCCGACGCGCAGGATCAAATATTTTGACGGTATTTGTTCTACAAAATAATGAACGTTCTCAGGAAAGCATGGGATAGCCCTGTGCGGTTTGAGCTCATTTTGGCCCACTCCATTCAGTGCTAATGAGACCCCTCACTTCTTTCCGGTACAGGGCCTCTTGAATACAACACTACGGGCACATTATTGTTCCCGGTGAGGAGCTGAAGGGCGACTCTGCCCCCCTGCGGTGTGTTTTCTGGCCGACATTCTGGAGACATGAGGCGGGGCCCCTGGCCGATCCGGAGGCCCTTAAAGGGAATACAGCACATCACATCGGTCCGCTCCCTGACGCAGGAGGTCTTCTGACCTGCGCAGTTGGCCCCGAATCAGCCCATCAACCGTTATTAACGCAACAACATCCCTGCTCACCGCAGATGGTCAAATAATTAGCACATGTACTTCAGTTGGGCTTGACGGGCCCATGCTGGAAAAGAGTTTGCGAGTCCACCGTTCGGTACTGGGGGCCCTGACTGGTACAGGATTCTTCTATTGCCTCAATGGGAGCACTCATCATAAGTTTTTGTTTCCTTCAATTGCCCAATAGCCCGACCAACGCAGGAGACCCTCTGTCATCCGGGCTTCCGTCCCCGCCCCTGTTGAACAAATCTTCCACTGACTGGTTCGAGGCCCCTTGTTGACACAGAATGCACTCTAAGACACTGTAGGCCCGTGAACGATACAGGGGCCGCACCGATGTAAATCGCGGGCCTGGCCCTGTTCCTGCTTGGGAAATAGGCCCCGGAGCTCAGACCAACACGGAGCCGACTGTTCGCTGCTCGTGATCTCTGGCTCAAATAGAGGAACGCTCTGTCTCAGAGGGATCCCTATCTCAGCAAGAGGTCCAATTGCTGACATTTGAGATTACGGCCGATGGACGGGGGTTCTTAATGCGATCTACAGCCAGCCTTTAGGACCTTTCAGCCATCCCATCGGGTCCCTGCTTTTGGTCTTGAGAGACCCACCGGCCTCTCTTCGCCCCCCCCCCCCCCCAAGCACCGCTCCCACTCAGGGTCACTTGCCGCCGCAGGACCCCTGTTCAGCACTGTGGCCTCATCCGGCACAGGAGCCCCTCATTGCGTCAGGGATCCCGAACATTGCAAATCAAGGACCCCTGCCTCGTTTCTGCTTGGGAAATGGGACTCAGACGGATATGGACCCGACTATTCGGTGTTGGTGGTCTCTGACCGCCTTTGACACCCGTTTGTCTCAGAGGTTCCTAAAGCGGTGCAAGAGGACCTCTGACTGATCTTTCAGGTCAGGATCCTGCGAGACACGATTCTTTATGTGACCTAAAGCCAGTCCTTCGGGCCCTTATGCGTTCCAACTGGTCCTTTGATAATCGGTTCCGGTGGGCCTCCCGGGGCCCTCTTCGAACCACATCAAACATTTCTCTTGGTCGGGTCGAGGCTCTTGCGAGCACAGGGCCCTCTGTTAGGCGCTGTGGGACCCCTGGCAGATACAAGACCCCCGACCAGTCACTGACCCCGGCTTTAAAGCTGATTGGGAAGTG